CCCATCACTAGGAAGGTGAGGACCCATTGTAGCACTGAGATGACTTGGAGCTGTTTTTCCACCTTAGACCTATTGAGCCAAGTGATGGAGAAGAGGTCCTGGAGGGCCGAGAGGATGCTGGAGCCAGTTCCTGCAGCAGAAGGGAGATGTCAGTCTGACGGTACCCTTTGTTTGAGCCTCAAAGTCCTTACCCCAACCTACTTCTCACATGCACCTTCCTGTATGTGAGAGGAGCAGGGGCACACACCCTGACCTCATCACCCAGTTGCTTTGTAAACTCTGGGCTGTTCACAAGCTTCCCTTTGCCTGCATTTCCATATGTACCCCTTCTTCAGGGCTGTTTTAAAGCCTAAATGTGCTTTCTAAAGAGATTAGCCCTAGGCTCAGGCCTTGGGGAAGCTCTTCTGTCAATTCTCTTCCCTCCCTGGGCTCCAACCAAACTATGCCCTTATTCTTTATCTGGATCTAGGACAAATATTGATCTTTGGTATCTGTGTCTGGTAGGCCAAGGACAGAGGTTCAATATCCAATATGCAATGTTCCCCCAACCCCTCCAAGTGTACTTTGAGCATCTCTAATCCTCTCCCCACCCTCCTTATCTCCAGGGCTAAGACCTCTTTCTCAGCAGTTGAGTGAGTCCCTTTTCCACCTACAAAAACATCAGCAACAACACCACCTCCATCAGATAGGAACACAGTCCTTGAGAGGGAGAGTCGAGGCTCCCAACTAGTGACCAGGAGAGGGCCCCATGGTCAATGAGCTGCAGGCAGCCTGGAGGACACCAAGAGCCAGAATCATGTTTGCTACCAAGGAAGTACCAAGCCTTGGAGTTAGGACAAGATGTGCCTGTTTAATTGGCTTTGGGGTTGTGTCCCCAGGAATGATGCCCTGGGCTCCACCAGCTGATGGGCAGTGGGACCAGGCAGGCTAATGATTCTGGGAGAGGTAGCTCCATCTAGCAGCTAGATCAAAAGGGTGGGGCCCTTCAAACCCCTGCTCCTGCTGATCCCGAACTGCAGACCTTTCACTCAGCACATCCTCACTGAGTACACACTGTGTGCTCGCCACCTTCCTGCACACCCACTCTGTATAAGGCCTGATGGTGCGTTCCACACCATCTCAGCCTGGCGGGTTTTGTGAACGTTCACCCTTGCCTACCTTCTGGGAGTGGGAAGGGAAGGGATTAGGGGCTTGCATCCAACCAACCTCTTGCATGTCTTCCAAATCTGTACAACACTAAGACCACAGTGGAGTTTGAAAGGGACGAATTCCTCTCCAGGTGAAAGCAATCAACCACTTCAGTTTGTGGAAGGCACATAGGGATACACAGGTTTCACAGTGAAAAATCCAGCCCTGTTCCTTAACACAGTTCTGGGTCACACCTCCATCCAGGTCTGAGACCTTCTCACTGTGTGACACGGGGGATGTGTGTGAGCGATCAGCACAGAGCAGGTGCAGATGCTCAGGAGCAACTAATGTTCCAGATCCATGCCTGATACGGAGCTGGTGGTCTGTGGGCTCATAAACCCAAATGAAGTGACTGGACTGCAGTTGTTCCAAGTGCTTTGCTCCGAATTGCTCCTTTATCTTCTCTCTCAAAATCTTACCCTTGCATATCCTTCTGGGGTCCGATAGTATTACCCAATTTGACAGGCAGAGAGACTGAGGCCCCATGGGCAAAACTGACTGGCCCAAGGTGGCTCAGGAGTAGGGAGCAGAACTGGAACCCAGGATTCCTGCCCCTGCAAAGGACACCTCCCCTCGCCCTACAGCACCTGCTGAGTACAAAGGGCTCTGCCAGTGGGGCACAGCAGGGCCAAGGGTGGCCCATAGTCAAGACCTGGCAGTGCATCTAGAGGGGAGGGAGAGGCCCAGCAAGGCCCTGGACTCCAGATCCGACACTGAAGTGCCTGCATTAGTGCACAAGTGTCATGGATGTTAGAGGATGGGTGGAAGAGTGGCTGAGTCCCTGCTCTGAGTTTGTGGCTGGTGGGGCCCCTGGGCTAAGCAGAGAGCAGAATGCACTCTAGTGTCTTCCTGCTCTCAGAAAGCCCAGGTACTGTAGCATGAACACTACTGGGTCAGGGAGACAGTTGGAAAGGCAGGGCCTTGGGCCCCAGCCTAGATCTACTTGGTCAGAATCTGCAGCTTAACAAGGTCTCCAAGTCACTGACGCTTGAGAGCACTGATCCCAAGTCCAAAGGCAAGAGGGCGTAGGAGGCACTAAAGGCTACCGCCTCCTGGTAGGGTGTAGGCGAAGGGCACCGGGGACCACTCTGACATCTCTTGACTGATGGCTTCTTAAAGCAGGCTGGACCCCAAGGTTGTGGCTCACCCAGTGCTGAAGGACAGGGCTTCTTGCCCAGCTCCCTGCCTTTGATCAGGGCCAACCCACTGTGGCTGATGGCAACCCCCCACTTGGGGACTGGGGACAGAAATGCTACAGGATGACCTTTCCCCAACTGACCTATCTCCAACCATCAAGAGGACCTACAAACCCTGCCTTATGCCTAATCCAGATCCTCCTGCTAAGCTTATGAGGTTAGATGACTCTAAGGTTAAAGTGGAGGAGCTGTAGACGATCTTGTTCAAATCACATCCCGTTATTGTGACTGGCTACTGAGGGCCTGAGGGGCTCTTGCAACCCCAGGAGGCAAGGTCGGCCAAAGCCTGGGCACTTCCCCGGAGGCTCATTCTGCTCTCATGCGCCTGTGCAACCCCAACTCCTGCCCTCAGACGTGCCCCACTAACCAAATGAGAAATGCCCGATAAGTCCACTTAGGGCCCAGGATGGGGACTTAAGTGAGATGCCGAGGTAGGGCCTGCAGAAAGGGGGCCAAAATGCTGCCACTATAGGCCTGGGCTCTCTCAGCCAGATCATCCCAACCTGGCTGATCACAGAGTCCAGTCCTGGAGCTGCCTATCTGTAGAAGCTGAAACCCAGGAAGCCCCCTGTGCATCAATGAGTTCTCATGTCACACTCCTTCCCCTTGCCTGGCCCGCTGGACGAGGTCCTCTAACCTGTCTTTCAAACCCAGGTGGGGCAGCAGGTCTTCCAGATGGTCTTTCCTGGGCTCCCAGTGGCTCACCTTGTACTAAGTGCTGATTACAAATCCATCCTCCCATCAGACTGGGCCAGGATGGTTCACCTAGGTCTGGGCACCGAGTGGGGCCCAGCAGGGAGCCCATGCATCTAGCTGCGAGAGAGGGAGAGCAGCTGCTCTGACCACCCCTCGAGCCCCTCAGCTCCCACCCCACAGGGCTGGGTGCCCCACAGTGTTGGGGGCCCTCTGAAGCTCTTCCATAGGCATTAGGCCTCCTACCTGCCTGTGAGTTTGGTGATGGAGAAAAGCTTAGAGAAGTGACCTGACCGAGGTCATGCGGCCAGCATAGGGGCAGAGAGCTGGGCTCAGTTTAGGTCCAGTCACCAGGCCTGCACTGGCCCCATGTGCATGCAGGCTTTCCTATGTCTCTGCTCTCTTCTCCCTACCACAAGATGTGTGTGTGTGGTGGTGGTGGGGGGGGGGGTTGTGGAGAGAAGGGAGGAGGACAGAGGAAAATGAAAGACCTACTTCCTTTCAGAGGGCAAGCGAGGCACAGGTCTCCAGGCAGCAGACCTTGACGTTCCAGTCCCAGACCTTGGGGCTCTACCATTGTCTCTGGGTAACCATGGCCAAGGCAATTCATTTCTCTGGGTTCCAGTCTCCTATCTATAAAGCGGGGAACCGGGGAGAGAAATGAATTGCTTGGGCCCTGTGGGTGCTCTGACTCCAGACTCTGAGGACCAACTCCTGAAGACTCCACTAACTTGGGACCTAGCAGCTAGTTCTCCACCTCACAGCAGCCCTGGCTTGGTTGTCCAGGCGGTCAGGGAAGGAGGGGTCCATACCAGGCAAACTGGTATGGGTATCCTTTCTGCAGTCCAAAGCCACCACTGCCACCACTTTCACACCCAGCTGGACCATTCCCAACTCCTGGGTGGGGCCAGATGGAAGCCCCCGCATCTATCTGAGTCCCATCACACCTGTGCCCTCACCACCCTCCAGCCTCTCTCGGCACACCTGTCCACCCCCACACTCTCACAGCATCAGCCCCATCACAGCCCAAACACCCACTGCCTATCCAGGGGACTGACTCATAGGGACCCTACAGGACAGAGTAGAACTGCCCCTGCAGGTTTCTGAGGTGGTAAATATTTAGAGAAGCCAACTGTCACCTCATTTTCCAGGTTTGAACTGTCAACCTCCAGCTTGAAGCTGAGTGCATTAACCAATGCAACACCCTAGTCCCGCTTTGTCCCATCCTAGTCTGGGCCTATTCACTTGGCCCCTTTGCTAGTGGAGCCTGGCAATCAGGGCTGGCCCGAGTTACCAGGTGCCCAGAGCTCTGCCTGGGGCCTGATGAGAGGAGACAGCAGTCTTGGCTGCTGAATGGGTGAAAGATTCCAGAAGGCCAGCGGCTGGCTCGGGCTAGGACCACCAAACTAGACTGAGCTGCCAGGCAGCATGTCCACGCCAACCCTACCACTGAGAACCATGGAGACAGTGAGTAACCTCCCTCGGCCCTCCCTGAGCCCCAGTGTCCCACCTGGCAGGTGGGCAGAACCAGTACTGACAGAGTTCTTTGCATGGCAGAAGCTTGAGGCAAGCACAAGCCGAACAGACCCAGATACGAACAGCCACTGCTGGCCCATTTCACCACTTGCCCACACGGCTCATTTGGCCCTTCCAACAAGCCTGTGAGGTGGGGATCCCTACCCTCCTGTCACAGCTGAGGAAGAAGCCCGGTGAGGTTAAGTGACTTGTTTCAGGTCACCAAGCAAGGCGGGGTGGTGGTGGGGAGAGTTTAAATAGGCAAATAGGGCAGAGGGAGGAGCACTGCCGCGGGTGCTCGGAGCAGCTTCCCACTACCACCCCAAAGTTAGCACCTCCCCCAAGATGATGGTGTGCTTCCTCTTCCGGAGAACAGGCCAGGCAGGGCTTGTCAACCCAAGGGCTGAGGAGGAAACTATGGCGAGCTGGACTACCTGCCACAGGTCAGGCTAGAGCAGCGACAGACTCGAGGCAGGTATTTGGGTTTCGAGTCCCTCATCATGCACACTGAGGCCACTCAATTGCAGGCTGGTCCCCATAAACAAATCAGCCCACGCCCACAACTCAGAATCACACCCTCAGCTCCGGGACAGCTGCCTGCTCCGCCCCATACCAGGTCCCAAAGGGAAGAGGGCCATCTACAGACTGGCTGGGCAACGATGCCAGCCCTCCACACCTCCCACCTATGTCTGCCTCTAGCTCCCTGATTGAGACCCTGTTGCCAGGGCTAAGCCACAGGTGCCACCCAACACTCACCCCACCCCACCCCATCCAGAGGCCCAGCCCAGGGTGGGGGTGGTGAGGGGGTTGTCTGATAGAGTAACCAGAAAGGCCACACCCCTAGACCAATGAGACCCTAGGGATTGCTGGGCTCCTTCTCAGACTCAGGCGGTGAAGTCTGAACCCCAGCCCCCTCAAACAAAGAAGGGTCTCCCCACCACCAACCTGCTTTGCTCGGTGGCCTAAAGCAAGTCACTTAACCTCACCGGGCTTCTGCTTCCTCAGCTGTGACAGGAGGGTAGGGATCCCCACCTCACAGGCTTGTTGGAAGGACAAAGGGGAAAAGAAGTGCACATCGGCATTTACAAGGTGACTGACGCATAGCTGCTGTCATCGCTAGTCATCTATAGGAGCGATGGGTAACCATCAAATGCAATACTGTTCAAGAGGTGCGTGGTCTTGAGGTTGTGCTAGAAGAGGGGCTATTGGCAGGAGGGCTCCAAGGAAGAGGTGAGGTCTCAGCAGGGCATGGGGGAGGGGGGCAGAAGAGCAAAGTGGGCAGTGACTTGGAAGAGAAGTGCCCAAGCAAAGACTTGGAGGACGTTAGGAGGAGGCAGGCCCCAACACAGAATGGTCAACATCCTGAAAATAGCCAGGGGGTTGTGGGGGAGGCAGAGGGCTACACTTAACCCAAATCAGAAGTTGGGCACAGAGAAGTCATAGGAAAGAGTTTAAATAGGCAAATAGGAACTGGAGGAAGTGGGTGGGGTCAGAGATAACACCTGAAACACGCAGGTTGCCTCAGAAGTGCCAAGCCTTGTTCTGGCTGCCAAGGAGGGAGAATACCTACAGGCAATCGCATGATGTAACACCAGGCAGCGATGAGAGCTATGAAGACGAACTAGAGGTAGGGAGACAGAACTAGGGGCTGAAGGATCCCATGGTGTGGTATGTGGAACAGGAGGCACTGGGCAGGGATGGCCTCCTCCAGGAGACAGGAAGGCATTGTCTACAGAAGAATGGATAGGCCACAACCCTGGACAGCCCACACTGCTTCCTCCTCCACCTGGGGAAAGTGTGGGCCTAGAGAATGTGCAGACAGGAGGCTGGGAGGCAGGAGAACCTGGCCCCTACCTCACAGGAAAGGTGCTCTGTGAGTCACTTCCTATGCAGGCCTCAGTTTCCTCATTCGCATGGTGGTGCTAATACCCACCCTCAGCAGACTGTGGGAAGGACTGAATGAGACAGGCAAGGGCTCTGTGAAAAGAAAGGAGCAGCTTTGGGAATTCTGGGTGATTATCCAGCGGGCCTCTGCGTCTCCTGTCTAATGGGGTCACCGCCCCTTGCCCTGCCCTGCTGGGGACCACAGGCTTTGGCGTCGCCTCAATCTGGGGTTTACTTTTTGGTTCTGACTCCTACCTGCTGGGTGGCCTTGAGAGTCCCTTCCCCTCTCTGAGACTGTTTCCTCTTAAGGTCCAATCCAGGGTCCTTATGAAGGGCGTGATCAATTTAGGGCAAGGGGCCGGAGTGTCTGGCACATCTGCTGGGGAGTTAGAAAGATGCCAGGGCTGTGAGAGAGGTATGAAAAGCCTGAGGCTCTTCAAGTGAGACTGTCAGCCTGCTCACATTCCCAGCCCCAAGGACACCACACCTGGGTCCAAATGGACCTAAGGTGACCGGAGCACTTCCCTTGGGCTGCAGTGAAGTCTCCACCATTGATTCCAAAGGGCTGGGCACAGGTTAGCATGGAAGCTGATGGGCAGGCCTTTCTGCTCCCCAGGAGGCCCGGGAAGCTAAGCCAAGTGCCAAAGCAATGTCCCCTTCCAGGTTCCCCCAGGCATCTTACACATGTGGTAATGTCAAGGCCAGTTGTGTAAAGATGCCAGCTCTGAAGGATGAGGCCTGATGTTCAAAGGGTCCCAGGCCAGGGACACAGAGCTGTCCCAGAGACCTCTTCCCTCCGGGACATCTCCCCACACTGCTGGCCCGGCCTGCAGTCCCTCAGGCAGAGTCTTGTCTGGTCAGTTTTTCTGCACATATGTCCCAGGCACCTAAGTGGCATTGAGCGTTGACCCCTAAGATCCCAGACTGCTGACCCTTCCTCTGGGAAGACTTCCTTGCCCTCCTAGGTTTTAATGATCACCCCACCGCCAAATCCCTCCACCTCACTCTCATTGTCAGCCTTTCTCATTATGGGGCAAGGACCACGTCTAATTTAGCTGGGTCCCGGTGTATAGTGTGGGGTGGGGCACAGAGCGGGTGGGTCCTCAGTGCTTGCAGAATGAATGAACACCCCAAGGGGGCTGTGATTACTAAACATGGCTTAGACAGGAGCAGAGATCAGTACAGTCCATAGCTGATGGGCCTGCACCATGAGCTTTGGGGGCACTGGGGAACAAATGTGTCCTTGGGCTACTGGGATTGGGATTAAAGGTAGAGGCAGCAGCAGAAGGCTTGAGAGGAAGGGCGAGAAGAGTGCACCCAAGGGTAACTTACCGTCTAGCCAACAAGTACTTCCTCAGAATAAGTGCACTCTTAGTAACAGCACTTCGTGGCCATCAAGTCCTTCCAGATCCCTAGTGGCCCCACAGGACAGAGTAGAACTGCCCTTGAGCATCTCCGAGGCTGCGAATCTTGATGGGGACAGCCTCATCTTTCTCCTGAAGAGGAGCTGGTGGGTTACCACAGCACCAGAGCTGCTGGTAAGTACTGTCTCCAAAACCAAACTCACTGCCCTCAAGTTGATGCCAACTCATATTGACCCTAGAGGACAGGGTAGAACTGCCCCTACAGTTTCTGAGACTGGGACTCTTCATGGGAGTAGAAAGCCTCCTATTTCTCCTAGGAAGTGGCTGGTGGTTTTGCCCTGCTATACCTTGCCGTTAGCAGCCCAATGTGTAACCACTTCATCACCAGGGCTCCTGAGACACCCTTTATTGCCAAGCTCTGTAGTACGCCAGGAGCAGCTTCAAGACCCTGCCTCTCCTCTCCTTCTTGGGCACCAGCCAGAGGCTAAGCTCTGCACCCAAATCCCACACCTCAAACACAGCCGGGGAGACAGGCTGTGAACAATTAGCCACAGAAGTCAAGGCCAGTGAATCCAGGGGGGTTACCCCATACCAGCCTACGGGGGTTACCTCAAGGAGGTCTTTCTGGGAGAAGTAATCATATAGCTCAGGTAGATGTAAAGGATGAAGAAGTACTTTCCAGGCTGCCAGGAGGAGGCAGGGGGTCAGGACCCCAGGTAGTGGGTACTGCATTTGGAAAGGCCTAGTTGATAAAGTGGAGAGGGAGGCATGGAGGAGTGGAATGCCAGGCCAAAGAGACTTGATCTCTACCTGAAGGTTAGAAAAACCACCCCACCTTCCATCCCCTCCTCTCCAAGTTCCCAAGGCAGC